ACTGGGAATAACTGCCACTGTGCCTGCATCGCGGGACAGCAGCGGCTAGTCAGGGACTCCGCGCCATGTGCAGTGTGGCCTAACCCTCTATGTGCCCCCTGCATGTCTACTACTGCTCCACTTTCTACTTTACGATCTTACACCTAGCTTGGTATTTTTAAATTAAAAGTCATTTATATATAACTTGAAAATAAAAACATCACACAGTGAAATTAGCCAGACTCAAAGTCTTCATCTCAATGAAGTTCTATAGTTAGGTTAGCTATCCTGAGGCCGTGGAGAGTCCACTTCGGTTTTTGCACTTTTACTATCCATTAATCACAAAAGATAAAATAAAAAAATCTATGACAGAGTTAAGACTAGACAAACTCTCCTCTTTCACGACTCAGTGTCATTTTTCTGCACACACTACAGGGAAAGGTCTGCATATGCTGTAAGTGGGTGACCTCACTGAATAGTATATATTCTAAGTTCATCCATTTTCCCACAGATTTCATGATTTCTGCTGGGATGTTCTGTGTTGCGTGAGACAATCAAAGAAAGAGGTCACCCCAAGAAGAAATTTTAAGGCCTGTGTGTCAGCAAGGAGGTCCAGCCTCTGATGAACTGAACCCTGAACAGCCATACCATGGTGTTTTTTTGATTGTTACATAAAGTTGTTTTTTTGGGTCAAGTATTTCCTAATCCCTATTCTAATTCATACGTCTCTAAAGGAAAGCATCACCTGCCCCACACATTAGTCCTGATTGTGTACATTTGCAGTCCATAATAATCCTAGAGACTCAGGTGTGCCCGGAGCAGCGTGTGACCAAAGTCATGCAAGAGCAGCAATGCCCCTTGAGAGCAATTCTGCAGACCATGGAAAATGATCACCGCTTTCCACGATGATTCTTCAAAGTCAAACACCTATTCACTCTAGCGATTTGTCCCAGAGTCCTACAACAGATCGCATTCTTCAGAGCTGGAGAGTATTCCATTTTAGGGATGTCCCAGATTTCCATTATCCATGTCTGTCAATGGACAACTAGGTTAATTCTGTTACCTTGTTATATGAATAGAGCACCAATAAACATGGGGGTACAAATATCTCTATGGTAGGGTGTGAAATTCCTGGGTGTCTGACCAGGAGAGAAATAGCTGGTATTTTACATATGGTAGTTCTATCTTTAATTTTTTTGAGAAATCTCCAAAGGAGCTATATTAATTTGCACCTCTCCCATCAGTGAGCGAGGGGTTCTCTCCACATCCTCTCTAACATTTGTTGGTAGGTTCTGACTCGGGTGAGATGGTATCTCAAAGTAGTTTTAATTTGCATTTTCCTCATGGCTAGAGACACTGAACACTTAAAAAAACTAATTAGTCATTGTGTTTCCCTTTTGAAACTGCCTCTTCTTCCAGCATCCCATTTGATGATCGGCAGTTTTATTTTCTTGGTATTTAATTTCTGCAGTTCTTTGTAAGTTCTGTATGTCAGTCCCCTGTCTGAAGCATTGCTGGTAGAGATGTTCTCCCATTCTGTGGGCTGTGTGCTCTGCTGATAGCTTCCTTTGCCGTG